CCTTGCCATTTCCCCAAGTCAAGCCCCACCCTTCCCTTCCTCTGGGCTGGTCCCCTCACCATCCACAGGTCATCCTCCATCATCACAGCTGTCCTGCCAGCTGGCAGAGTGAGGAAGGCCTTGGCCTTTGGTACAGGCAGTTATTCACCCCTCTAACTGTAGCTAGGAGCCCTCAGCCCCACTTTCATCCCTTCAAACCTCCAAACCGGGCTGTTGTCAGCCATCTGTCCAGGCATGTTAGGGCTGAATGATGCCCCACAAAGTCTTCTGTTGAAGTCCTAACCTTCAGGGCCTTAGAACTTCAGGGTGGACCCCAATCTGAGATGATGCATCAAAAAGTAAATCAAGGTTCACTAGAGACACTAGTGTGTGCATGGAGAGGAAGCTGTGTTCACACATGGCAAGAAAACTGGTGGAAAGGGTTTGGAGGAAACAACCTACTTGACACCATGAGCTCAGAGAAGCAATTGGTTATTTAAGGCACTCGGGCTGTGGCATTTTGTCATGACAGCCCCGCTGTGCTAGTACTGAACCTGACCTGGGACAGGTTCTCTGTAAACCTGACTCACTAGAAAGGGATCCCTTTTCTAGTTTCATCATATCTTTCTGTCCCAAAGCACAAGTTCTGGCCTTCCAGGGCTCACAGCTGTGCTAGGCTCCAAAAAACCTTCCCAAGGGGTCCATGTCACCATCCTGGAACTTACAGATGCATTGCTCTTCATAGTAAAAGGTGGAAGTAGAGAAAGCTATTATAGAAGCAAGCAAATGGCATGATGGGAGGAAAGCATCATGATCCCAGGAATTCAGGTGGTCTGGAAAACAAAGACAAGGAACAGGATCTCTGCTCCACCTGCCCACAGAACCAGCCCGGCTGACACCATGACAGCAGCCCAGTGAAGTTGATTTTGGACTTCTCATCTCCAGAACTGGAAGGTAATAAACTTGTTCTAAGACACTAGAATTGTAGTAATTTGTTGCAGCAGCAATGAGTAGACTAATTACAATGACTCCAGTTCTGTCTGGCCCATCCTTGGGTAGTAGAGTGGTGGTGGGAAAACTCAGCCTCTCAGTGGCTTCCCTGGGTTGTAGGTGGTGGCTTTGCTAAGTTCCCTGACAGCTCCGTGACCCAGATGTTCAAGGAGGAGATAGCAAGAATTTTTCTCCTGAGTTTACAATGTTTCAGTCTCTCTTGCACAAATAAGGATTTCATGGTAATGGACCTTGTCTTAATTCACAAAAATATTTCTCAAAATTTACACTGTAAGCCTTCAAATAGTGTACATTGAGGAAGCCAGCATTGCAATCGCCTGTCACAGTGTTAGGTGTAACTGTTGGAAATCATAAATGCCTTTCATCAATATGTAAAAAGAAATTTATAACATTAGATGCTATAATTAAAATATTGAAATATTGGCATGTATACACGATCAGAATTATGTAACATATAGGTACTAAAAACCAAAGGAATGGAAAACTTATACCACAGGTTGTTATAATATGGCTTTGTAACAGAAAATAGACGGTTTTAAATTTAAGCTAACTTACAAAGATTAAATCTTCCACTATAAGTTGTACTTTTTAAGGTATGCGTTTTTAAAACAGACTGGAAGCTAACCTATAGCCCCCACAAAAACAGAAGTAATATTATTATTTTCAGAAGTTCTCCTCAAAATAAGGGAAAATACTATTAGAGGAAGATATATAAATAGTCTTGTATTTCAGTGTCTTACCTTAAGCCATAATTCTTGCCTACATCTGAAAAAGAATTACTATTCTGAAAAAGAAGACTTTAAAAACCCCAGCCAAGCTGTAGTAAAGTTGGGGTATCTCTTGGGCTACCAGTTAGTCACATTATAAAATTGTCACATTCCCATGTCACAGTGGAACCAATGCTGTTTAACCAATGATGTCAAAAAACCTTAGTAGTGTGGATAATAAGTTAGACACATTACACAATATCAGAATTATTAAAAATGTCACTTTCAGGATGAAGACTGTCACTTTGCATATCTTCAGGTATTGATCAGGGACATGACACAAAAAGTGGCCTACAGTTTGTTTTTCTTTAAACTTTCTAAAATGTATGTATATGAGAGACACAACAAAAGACAGCTCTCATTTGCTAGTTCACTCCCCAAATGCTCATAAGAGATAAGGCTGGGCCAAACCAAGCAGGGAGCCAGGAACTCAGTCCCATGGATGGCAGGCATCTAAGCAGCTAACACATCACTTGTCTCCTAGGGTCTGCATGGGGAGAAGGCGGGACTGGAAGCAGAGCCAGGACTGGAACCCAGCACCTTGATTGATGGGTATCCTAACCAGAGTCATAAGCACCAAGCCAAATGCCTGCCCCATCTCGTAACTAAAAAGTAATATTCACAGGGTGGGCAGCACAATGGCCTAGGAAAACCTTGGGACCCTGCACTCATGTGGGAGACCCAGAAGAAGCTCCTGCATCCCGACTTCGGATTGGCTCAGCTCTGGCCGTCATACACACTTGGGGAGTAAATCAGTGGATGGGAGATCTTTCTCTCTGTATCTCCTTTTCTCTCTAAATCTGCCTTTCCACTAAATAATAAATAATAATTTTTTTTAAAAAAAGAAAGATGTACAGACTGCTGGTCTTTTAGATATCTAGTAGGCATACAGCCATTTTTATAATAAGATTGGAGTCATGTTGTTGATCACAACCCCAAGGTGTGGCATTTGACAGACTTGGACCCATATTCTCATTTGACAAGATCAGCATCATATTAACAGTAGTGGGATTTGAGATTCATGCTTCATGCAGAGCTGTCTTCATGAAGATTAGCTAAATCCTTCTGAAGATATTCTCCTTAGCTTATACTATCCAGTCAGGCATCAATTTTCCATCATCTGTGTCCTGGTACAGACCAGCTGCTGCAGACTTGCAGATGAGGGAAAGTTAGTCATCTGGTACAGAGCACTGAGCTGGCAGCAAGCTTTCCACAGGCTGGAAAGCATCTGCAACGCCCAAGGTCATAGCAGAAAAGACGATCAAAGAACATTCAGTCTGGTGAACTGCCTGTTACACTGGCGTACACTTGTGTACACACATACCCTTATTGAATCAGAAGAGTCAGAGAGAAAGGGAGAGACAGAAAGACTTTCCATCTACTGTTCCTTCCACAGATCACTGAACAGCTAGGAGAGGCCCATGCCTGAGTCAAGAGCTTCTTCAGGGCTCCCACATGGGTGCAGAGGCCCAAGCACTTGAGCCACTCTCTACTTCTTTCCTAAGCATATTACCAGGGAGCTAGATCCGAAATAGAGCAGCCAGGCCAGGCTAAGCTCTTCAACCCAACAAGTGTGTCCCAGAACCTGACTCAGTGATCCCAAGTGTTGGAAAGTGTGGAGAAGATATTGGGTGGTAAAACAGGCTTGGTCACCACTTTGGGGAAGCAATTTGGCAACATGGAATCAAAACAGGAAACCTTTTATGTTAGATAGTGGGAGTGGAAGGTAATAAACTGAGTACTAGGAAAGTGCCTAGCGCTGGCTGCTAGTTTCAGAGAGGAAGCTCCTGTGACTCACAAGTGCAGGTGGTAGTGATGGGGACAGGCAGCCTGGGTCTTGGGTAACACGAGGAGTGGCACAACCCTTGGTCATTGCGTGTAAGAGAGTAAGTTAGGATGGATATGCAGGCCAGTAGGGACGCAGATGTTCACTTATCTCCTGACATTTTTATCATAAAAGGAGAATAACCCCCTTCCTCTTCTTCCTTCCACTCAACATTGGGCCAGAATGGTCAGTGAAGAGCCCAGGGAATAGGCAAACCGAGCAGACACTGGTTGCTACTGGTTGAATGAATTATTGGAACAGGTGAGGGTTGTGGAGACCTGGCAGTGCAGTAACTTTTTCCAGCTTGTGTTAAGCAGTTAATGGTAATAGCTCCCTACTCCCACCCTCACTCCCTACTCCTGCAAATCCAGTGTACAAAATGCCCTGACATGGAAATGTGAAAGGAAAGCAGAGATGACCCTTCAACTGGGCAAGGATGCCAGAAGCCCGCCCTCCACACCTCTTGCTTTTAGGAATCACTGTAAAATCCGGTCACAAAATGGAGTCACTTTGGTTCAGGCCTGCATAATTTGCTAACCTGCTCTTTATGCTTCTGTATAAAATGCTTTGCCAGTTTTCCTGCTTTTTGGGCCAGATCACTAGGCTAACATGCCCTGTTAACACCCTTAGGTACCAGGAATCAATATTGTATGATTTATTCACTCATTGTTCCTATGACTGCCTCCTGTGGCTGCTCAAGCCCACCCATTGTCCCCATGGCAGCCTCCTGTGGTTGCTATAGCCTACCCATTGTCCACCCATTGTCCCCATGGCAGCCTCCTGTGGCTGTCCAACTCACCTGGTTCCCATGGCTGTATAACTCACTCTTTATAAAAACCCATCTAACTCTCACCTCAGAGTCACTCTCTGAAGGAAAGGAGAGCTGACCCCAGCTGGTTGGTTACCTGCCTCCTCAATAAACTTTGCTGCTTAGCAGAGTTGTCTGGGCTGCACTTCTTGGGGAGAGGCTCAGGTTGGATGCAACATCACTGCACACTGCTCTTTAGTTTTGCATATAAAGAAACTAAACCCTGGAGAAGTAATTTGCTCTTAATCAGATCATATTATTGCCACAGAAGAATTAGAGTAAGAATTGAAGTTTGAGGAGTGAGTTAAACCACTGCTTGGACATGCCAGAGTTCTAGTTCAAGTCCCTTTTTGCTCTGCTTTTGATGCAGCTGCTTCCCAATGTGCACTCTTGGAGGCAGCAGAAGATGGTCCAAGTGTTTAGTCCTCCGCCACCTGCATGGGAAACACAAGTGGTGCTCCAGGCTCTTGGTTTCAGTTTGGCCCAGCCATGGCTGGTGCAGGCATTCAGGGAATGAACCAGTAAGTGGAAGAGATTTTCTGTCTCTTCCATTTCAAATAGATGAAAATAAATGCATGAGCATGTTTTCAATCATGAAATTCTAAATCTTGTGCTCATTTCAGCAGCATATATATGAAATTGGAATGATGTAGAGATTAGCAGGGCCCCTACGCAAGGGTGATATGCAAAAATTATACAGTCATACAGTCACTGCATGACTGATTTAGAGCCCCCCTCCATCTCAGTTTTGCTCCATATAACATGGAGATTAAAATCATAGCTACACGATGGTGGCATGATAACAACTGCACATGAAAATGACCTCATCCAGACTCCCAGCATTGTTATCTGTACATTGATTGCTGCCAAATGGGAGCCTCCATTTCCACCTCCCCAAGTCCTCTCTTAAATTTGGACTTGGCAGAATTGAATGTTGAACAACCTACTTGATAATTCCACTTGAAGGCCAAATAGTTTCCTCCAAGTTAATGCATCAAAACCAAACACATCACCTCCCCTGCAGCCCACCTATCATACCTGCTTGTTATCTTTGTCCTGCCTTCCACTCTTCCTTTATCTCTGACCACAGCCTTAGCATCATCCATGACAACTCTCTGATTCTCATATTCCATCCCCAAGGCATTAGAAAAGTCTCTTGGCCCTATCTTCAAAATATATGCAAAATCTAACCTTCTCTTACCACTTCCACTGCTTTATTTACCTCAATATGAAAACATAAGCTATCATTTGCTTTACTTGGGTTTTAAACATTTTTTTTTTTATTTGAAAGGCAACTTTGCAGAGAGGAGGAGTGACAGAAAGGGAAAGATCTTTCATACACTGGTTCACTCCCCAAATGGCCACAACGTCCAGAGCTGAACTGATCTGAGGCTAGTAGCCAGGAGCTCCTCTGGGGTCTCTTACATGGATGCAGGGCTCCAAGGACTTGGGCCATCCTCCGCTGCTTTCTCAGGCCATAAGCAGGGAGCTGAACAGGAAGTGGATCATCCAGGACATGAATTGGTGCCTATTTGAGATGCTGGTGCTTGAAGGTAGAGGATTAGCCTGTTGGGTCACAGTGCTGACCCCATACTTGGCTTTTTTGTTTTCTTTTCTTTTTTAGTTGTCTTTCTCCGCCCACTGAAACTAAGCTCCATTAGGATTTAGATGTCTTCTGGTCAATATTTATCTCCAGGGCCTAACACATAGCACATGAGAACTAGTCAAAAAATATTTGTTGAATGAATCGCGTATATAGTTTTTACCAGCACACTATGTGCTCATTAATGCTGTCATTCTTTGCAGACAAGTTCAATCTTTTTCCTCTAAGCAATTTTCTTTCCACAAGACACTTAGGAGGAACTGTTCACTTAAGAGGAAGCTGATACTACGGCTCTATTTTAGGCAAACGACTTTAAGATTCAGTTCCTAAGCCTGAAATTTTTAAGCGATTTCAAGTTCTTGAGTGTAGGGAAATACGGAACAGAAAGTTGTAAACATGGTCAAATTAGAGGTGAACGATTTCAAATTATGGATGAATTCATAAAGCATAAATTCAATGTTATGAAATGGAAAGTTGGTTAGATTTCCACTTGTTTACAAGCTTTTAGCAGTTTGAAACTCTTCAAAACTACCTTTTTAGACATAGATTGTGACAATAGCAAATTACCATGATTCTCATTTCCTTTATGCTTGAGCAATAGAAATACAAATACTATTGCTGTAGAAGGAATTACTGGCATTGGAGTCAGATCCTGCCACAGGAATTTCTTAAAAGGACATATAGCCTTCAGTGCACATTTTGTCCTCAAAGATAAAGATGAATCATTTTAGAATACACATTGGGCCCCGGCACAGAAGCCTAGTGGCTAAAGTCCTCGCTTTGAACACAAACGTGTTCCAGGATCCAATATGGACACCGGTTCTAATTCCGGCAGCCCCACTTCCCATCCAGCTCCCTAATTGTGACCTTGGAAAGCAGTGGAGGACAGCCCAAAGCCTTGGGTTCCTGTACCCACATGGTAGACCCAGAAGAAGCTCCTGACTCCTGGCTTCGGATCAGCTCAGTTCTGGCCAATGTAGTCACTTGGGGAGTGAATCATCAGTCAGAAGATCTTCCTCTCTGTCTCTCCTCCTCTCTATATATCTGCCTTTCCAATAAAAATAAATAAATCTTAAAAAAAAATAATTCAGGCTAGGGTGATGCCTCAGCTCTGCATTTTGTCACTAAAAATACAAATTTCTAGTTAAATATTTAAAAGATTTTTTAAAGTGTTTTAGATAAATCCACTTGAGAATTATATGAAAAAGAAAAGTTTGAGCAAAAAGTAGTATTGAAAATTTTAGGTTCTCAGGATGTATGGAAGAATGTAAGGAAAAGATATACAAGGGGAGTTCAAAGTACTCATGGAAAAAATGGAATTCAAAGGGTTTTTTTTTTGATACAGAAAAGAAAACGAAATCCAAGTATAGTTCTCTCATGATATTTTTCCACAAACTTTTTGAAAAAAAATTTTAAATGTAATGTTTTTGTGCCAAAATAAACTTACCTTTTAATTCCCTTTCCATAAATTCTGACATATCCTTATTCAATTCCATAATTTGGTCCCCATGTATCCATTTATGTTCCTGAGTTTCTATGTGTACAAAAAGGCTCCCTTTGAAAACATCATGAAGGTGAGCATTTGACCCAGTGGTTAAGATTACAGTTAAGACATCTGTGTCTCACACCATCCTTCCTGGGTTCCATGCCATCTCCATCTCCTCCATTCAGGTTCCTGCAAATGCAAACCCTGAGAGAAAGCAGTAATAGCTCGAGTCACTGGGTGCCTGCCATGCACATGGAAGATCTGGGTTGAATTCCTGGCTCCAAAGTTTAGTTTGACCCAGTCCTGGCTGTTGTAGGCATTTGAGAGTATGCCAATGGGAGGGAACATTTTCTCATCGTTTCCCTCTCTGTCTCCCCTCCCTCCCTGTCAACTAACTAAATATATATAATGTGAGTGGATGTTTCACTAACACATGTAAATATATCCTAGGATGAGGAATCAGCAGGTACGTAAGCCTTGAAATACGAATGAACCCATCAGATTCAAGGATCAACAAGAAGGCTACATCCTGGTCTTCTTCCCATAGTTCATAACCATCATGCCAACATCTAACAAGCAGGAGAGGGGCATATGTGGAGCAAATGAAATACCTACATGGCCAATAGAAATGTGGAAATAGCGCTGTCACTTTCGGAACCAAATGACAGCTTTTTACAACCAATCAGGCCAATGTTGGATCACTCCGCTAATGTTCCTAATACCCAGGGCTGGACCAGGCCAAATCCAAGAGCCTGGAACGCTTTTCATGCATGTGGCATGACCCCACATGCCTGTCTCACAGAGGGTACATATCAAGAAGCCGAATTGGAAGTGAAGGAGTTTGGGCTCAAGTCCAGGCACCCTGATATGGGGTGTGGACATTCCAATCAGCAGCTTAACTGCTGTGCAAAATGGTCACCTCCAACCATTAAATTTGAAGGTGCAGCTTGCTGAATCACAGAGTTCTTGGAATTTCCATTTCTGAGCTTCCCTCCACAGTGGAAGTGGCTTGCCCAATGGAAGACTTGCCTGCCTTTGCTTAAACACCTCTGATAACCTCATCTGAAGGAGATGCCTTGAATTGGGGTACTTGTTCTCCAAACTCAACATGACCACCTGTGGCTGCCAGGCTCATAGCTAGTGTCAAATCTCAGCATGTTGCAGAAGGACAGCCAAACACTAAGCCCGGGAAGAACAAGTTTGTATACCACAAGAATTGCCACTTTTCCTGAAAAGCTCACAGAACCCCCATGGAACCCATAGAACATTTGAAGATGCTAGAACAAGAAGAGTGAAGGCAACACTAGACTGGACTAGATTGAGTCCAATGGTATCCTTGCTAGCCAAGCGGGCAGGGGGCGGGGAGGGAATTTCCCTGTTTCAATGCTTAGGAGAGACTCAGAAGGCTTAGAGACATAGCAATATCAATAAGGACTTAGCAAATGAAACCTGCACATCCAGCCCCTAGCCATGTCCCAGAAATAGGCCGAAAAGACAGATCTTTGTCTGTCTATGATACTGCCATGCCCATGAACTCAGACTTTACTGCTTGGCGTGTCCTATGATTTGAATTCACTCCCCAAACTTTAGGCATTGGAAACCCTAAATTCATATGCTGATGGTATTGGAGAAGGTTTGGGTGGTTAAGTGGCTAATCCTCTTCTTGCAAGTGCCAGCATGTCATATGGACACTGACTCCTATGCCAGGTGCTTCACATCTGATCCACTTCCCTGCTAATGACCTGGGAAAACAATGAAGTGCCTCCCAAATCCTTGGGACCCTGCACCTGCATGTGGAGACCTGGAGGAAGTTCAAGGTTCTTGGTTTTGGATCAGCTCAGCTCTGGGTATTGTGGCCCTTTGGGGAGTGAACCAGTGGATGAAAGATCTTTCTGTCTCTCCTGTCTGTAAATCTACCTTTTCAATAAAAAAAAAAAATACATTTTTTTTAAGTGGATAGAGCTGAGCTGATGGATGCTGCCTCTGTCTCACCACACAATGCTCTCCATTGGGTTATGAGGCAGAAGAAGGTCCTTACCAGATACTGAGCAGATGCCAGCATTATGGTCTGGGATCTCCCCGCCTCCAGCAACTTGAGCAGACTCCTGCTCTCTCATTGTTATCTGGTCTGAGAATTTCGCACAGTTACAGTGAATAGGCTCAAGTAACCTGAGAGGCCTCCCCCCAGCTAAGGTGCCCAAACATCCAGGCTTGCCAGGCACTGAGGTGTCCCCTGGCACATGAAGCCTCCTCGAAACAGCTGGGAAAATCTTGGGCAAGCTAAGATCCCCGAGTCCAGCATTCGAATTTGTCTAGGAGGACGAACAACAGAAAGATCTTTTGCTCAGAACTTGATCTCACAGTTTTTTTTACCTTCCAGTACAGTGGACATCTGGCTCTACTTCAGGACAGAATTAGATGTACTTACCCAAGTGGAATTTTTACAAATGAAATGGACTCTTCTTTATGCTTGCCTTTTAACCAGTCAGTATTGATTCTAAGCAGAAGATGGTAGAATGCTTACCACGAATTCAATGAGCAAATGTGTGCAAACAGCTTTACAGTCCAGCAATACACAAATCCATCACACATCACATTTTCTGTGTAAAGTCTTGAGTTGTAAA